ATCTTTTTGCATCTGCCGTTTGTAAGTCATTTTAAACTGTATTCACGTAAAAATGGAACACTTGTATTTATCTTACATCGACTGTTTTGTTTTGAATGGAATATGGTTGAATGTTTGTCGTGCTTTCCTACTAGATATCGACTTTCAATTCTTCCAATCAGCGTTCATCATATGATATACATAGTCAAACTATGGTGATCATTTTCGCCTCATTTGGTATGACCATGTATTGTATGATCACCAAGTTTGAAACCAGACTTGACTGTTCTGATGTTGTCAATACAACTCTAAACTCCATCTTGTATTTTAAACCAGATACGTTCGCGTTCTAGTTGAAGAAACCAATGATTGCACATATTAGGAATGCAGTTGTTGTTTTGATGTCAGCCATCCAGTGGTTTGATGAACGAGTTGGGGATGAATACAACAGTGATGTTTGCATTCATTCAGTTCTTAGTGTTTCACTTGCGTAGATATGAAGTATGCTAGTTATCATTTAACACGCTTTGATTCACCAACCTAAATTTTGATGCAATGTCAAACTATTATATGTGAATAGATTGTCCGAACGTCAACTTGGATGGCGAATGGGATTGCGGGGTTTACTGCGAAGGATATGCCAAAGATACCTTTGTTGTAGCTGTTCTTGAAGATTCTGGCTCGTCAATGTTTCAAGCGGGGGTTGGGTAAGCATGATCAGCAATATAAAGGTGCCATTGATTTAGCAGGGAATATCATGCATGGCTTACCGTTTATCAATTGTGTTCATCTAGAGTCATTGCCATTAATGATAATAATCGGGAGATATATGTTATTATGAAAGGCACATCTCATATTGGCAACTGGTTTTCAAACGCTCAAATGTCTATGACGGATATCAGTGATGGCATATTTCCAAAATCGTCTGCTCGGATCCCATCTGGGGCTAGTGTGAGTCTATTGTCTGATTTTGCTTTGTATCAGTAATTAGCTACATGCTAACACCACTCAATTGTATGGATATTTATATATTTTAGGTACACTCTGGGTTTTTGAACATCTACTTGGAAGTGTCTAAAAAACTCAAGCATATTCTTAAAAGTTTAATGCGATCCAATCCCACTTATAGCATCAAGTTTATTGGCCACTCGCTTGGCGCTGCACTTGCCACGATTGCTATATCTGATGCAGCTACCACGTTTGGTCCCGCCCGGTCCCGAAACATGCATCTATATTCATATGGAAGTCCTCGTGTTGGAGATGCTATATTTGTTGAGTGGATTTCAACCCTCAACATCGGCTCTCTTCATCGTATTATAAACGTCAATGATCCAGGTACAGATTTGTGATTTTGTTGAAATGTCTGGTATGCTTACTGATCTGACAAATGTTTGTTTTATTTAGTCACTCAAATGCCCGGATTATTTTTGGGATACAAACATATCAAAACCACCTCTGGATTTGATAATAATTTTGGTGCTATCCCCTGTACTGAAGAAGAGACTAGCGGCGAATCTTTGGACTGCGATCAAGTCAGTATGATGAATCCAGATATCAGATCACATACGACTGGATATTTCTACTCATCGTAAGTATTCATGTTTGCTGTCAAGTAAATCAGTGTGATTTTAACCTCTGTAATTTTGATTATTTAATCTAGTGGATGCAAACCACACCGTATCGAAATGGACAAAAACAAATTACCCGCAAAACATTATACTTGATCTAGTTGAACTGTTATAGAGATAAACCGGCTGTTGCATTTTGCAATTATTATTCACGCAGCCGATTGACCTTGGTCTAGATGCTAATCATGTAGAAACACCCAAGATTGACATTTTCTCTCCGTTTTCATGTTCCCATTACCAGCCATAAGAATTTTTGGATTTCACGAATGAATTTATCGTACAACGACTTTTTACTTTGGTTTGGAATAAGCAATGTTTGAATATTTGGGTTTTCTTGCAAGAATTGGCATTCTCGACTTTTTAATAAACGCCCATAATATGATGCAAACAAGCTATAGTTTTGAACTAGGGTTGTTTTCTTATTGTATGATCATCAGATGCATTCACTGCGATCCATATATTGGGGTTCGACTGTTATAATGTTGTCAATACAACTATACACCTATTTTGTATTCCAAAACTCCACATACTTTTACACCCAACTCGATAAAACAAAAATCACACAACTCGGAATGCAATGATTTGCACGTCAATCACTCAGTATTGACCGGAATTTGCCGCGAATTGGTCGCCCATCATTTCGCAAGACCGGCCGTTTGTGTACTTTGGCATCCCTACTTTGTGTTTCATTTTACGTGAATGTGACGAGTTCACCATTCATAGTTGCGACTTTAAACCCACCACCCTGAACTCTACTTTTTCCGTCCAAATGAGTACTAAAGCAGAAAACCTGTTAGGGTTAGCCACGGACTAACCCTGACAAACGTCTAATCAAAAAGCATCAGTAAAATCTAGGAAGCGTCCCTTGTCTACGTATAGTTGATCAGTTTGTGTTGCTCAAGTGTTTTACCTTGCACTCTACTATAAATCCAGAAAGATAGGCTATTGCGTGACTAGCAAGCAATTGATTCGATAGAAAAGCTCTACTAGTAGATATTTCAAACAGGACTCTCACTATTCACAAGACCTCTTTGAATCTGTCAAATTTATTCTGGTTATACTCAAACTTGGATAGCTTAGTGTCGAGTGATTCAAAGCCCGTCAATCTATATTTTAGAAATAGTTGGATTCAAGTTTTGTAAAGCATGCAATCTCTCATATGCATATGCATATTTTTTATACCAGGCATTACTGCAGTAAAGTTTTGGGAGCTTTTTAAGCTAAAAAACACCATCCAAGCCTCTACTGCATCGCTTCTGCCTCCTCAACTCGCACAACTGCCACTTACTAGTTCCAAAATGCAAAGCAACCAAGGTCACAAGTTTGGCAATCCCAAATGGTACAAGAAAGGTGAACCGCAAAAGTACATTTGGTATATTGATACTGGCTTGGTGACTACCATGACCACTCTTATGCAGTATAATGCTGCAGCATGTAAGTTTATTTTCGGTATTGAACTTGTATGGTAATTATGGTAGCCTACATTTTAAACTGTATTCACGTAAAAATGGAACACTTGTATTTATCTTACATCGACTGTTTTGTTTTGAATGGAATATGGTTGAATGTTTGTCGTGCTTTCCTACTAGACATTGACTTTCAATTCTTCCAATCAGCGTTCATCATATGATATACATAGTCAAACTATGGTGATCATTTTCGCCTCATTTGGTATGACCATGTATTGTATGATCACCAAGTTTGAAACCAGACTTGACTGTTCCGATGTTGTCAATACAACTCTAAACTCCATCTTGTATTTTAAACCAGATACGTTCGCGTTCTAGTTGAAGAAACCAATGATTGCACATATTAGGAATGCAGTTGTTGTTTTGATGTCAGCCATCCAGTGGTTGGATGAACGAGTTGGAGATGAATACAACAGTGATGTTTGCATTCATTCAGTTATACAAAAATGAGCAAAGATCAATGGTCTTGTCAAACAGTTCAGAGGACACAAGTTGTTTAGTCAATTGGTATACATCAAATGAGACTGGCCGTTTATGATGTATTTTGAATCCATTATTCAGTGTTTCATTTCACGTGAATACGATCATGAATAAGACTAGTTTACTAAACTCGATACAATGGTTGAAATTGCAATATGTAGCTTGCAAAGTAGTCAATGTTGCTAGCAAGTGGGAGTGTGGTCCACTTTGCCAAGATGCTACGGCTGGAACTCAAATTGTCTCACTAATCAAAGATCCAACCCGAAGTAGAACAGATATGAGTGTCGGGTAGGTCACAGATTGTATTGAATAAGACTCGGTTTATTTGGGTTTATATTGAATACTAATTTTTTGTTTTTAGATATGTTGGGATTAATAATCAGTTGAAAACAATTATCGTGTCGTATAGAGGGACAATGGGGTCGGTTGATTGGAGACAAAACCTTCGTGCCGTGACAACACTCATTCAAGAATTATATGAATATCCAAAAAAGCATATTTTCAACGAAGCTCGGGTACAGTTATTTTCCTATTTGAATATCAAATGTTGGCATTTAATCCTTTCAAGCATCACATTTGAACATTCAGTTATATTGAATACAATAATGATACTGTAGGTTCACGCCGGGTTTTTAGGCGAGTTTATGCGAATTAGAGACACAGTGGCTCGTGCTCTACTCATGGCAATCTCACTCCATCCAGAATACAAAATTCACATAACTGGTCATTCCAAGGGTGGTACACTTGCTACTCTAACTGCGGTGGACCTATACATGACTCACGATCTGCCCAACATTGAAAAAAAAGTGCATTTGATTACATTTGGCACGCCACGTGTTGGCAACAGGGAATGGGCAGCCTGGTTAGATGGAATTCCATTTGCTGAAGCTATTCGTGTAATCCACCAAAATGATCCAGGTAAAACAAATGCGCCTACACATACAGAGAGTGGTGCTATAAAGTATTTACTAACTGCTTTCCGACGAGGTAATTTAGTGGTACATTTACCACCGATAGCTATGGGGTACCAGCATACTGGCGTTCCGGTTTTGGTAACAGCAGATCGTCATGTTGTAGGGTGCACCTATTACAAGGATAGATTGAGCGATGAAAACTGTCTTCCTCACAGTCCTGAAAAATCTTCTCATACACACAACTACTTTCACAAAACGTAAGTCTTCATTTTTTAATTCGACTTGTCATACTTGCATGCACATTTCAGTTTTTTTGAGTCATACCATCACATTACATATGAGAATCCTAACTGTCATGGATTGTACGTAATTTGAATTAAAGTGGATGCCGACTTTTGAATGAGCAATTTGACGCAATGAATTCACCCAAAAAAGCAAGAGCGCCTGCGACATAGGACTATTTTTCTGGGCTCATGGCCATGTCTGCGTTTTACCATTAGATCTGAATACAAGTTTGAATTAAACATGGCAAGTTTCGCCTAGCCATGTATAAATGGGGGTTCATGGCAATTTTATGGTAAATCTACTTTATTCAAAATGATTTCTGTTTTAAACTGCTGATTCACATGCCATTTTATTTTTAGTGCAAAGCAAAACTATTTCAAATAAACCAAAGCCATTCTGATTATATTTTGTAGTATTAAACGTTTATGCTTCCACTGTGCTCTCTTCAGCAGGTGCAGGGATTTGCATCAACGTATCAATTTTTGAGGATAGACAATCCATGTCACCGGGAAGTAAAATTTCTTTTCCATCACGAAGTACTTTGGCAGGGTTGTAAAGCATATCGGTTGCACAGGAAGTGGCAAGTTCAAAGTGAGCAATATTGTCCTGTGCTTCTTGTACGGTAAGGGGATCCGTATCAATGTCGTTCATGTCAACATCGTTATCCTAAAAAGACAAAAATGAGCTGAATAAAGTAACCATGTTACCATTAGAAAGCGGAGTTTACCATTTCATCCTCGGCACCTTCTGTGCCACAATCGTAATCATCATCAGCATCATCCTCACTCTAAGATCAAATAGCAAAGAGTTATTGCCAGAGTCAAAGTAGTGAAAACAGTATTGCACCTACCTCGAACGTTTGAGCAAGAATGCTGTCTTGGATAGTATTGTTGATACTCTTTCCCTTGCGTAAAAGACTTGGCTGCATAGGGATGGCAGTCATGACCAGATCTGTAATCTAAGATTTTGGATTGATAATATGAGCGATAGCAGGGATAGTGACAAAGCCAGGTATGGTATGTACCTCTTGAACAGGAATATCAGCATGATGTTCTTCTGGATCATCCTTGAACGATGACAACCAATGTCAGCTCAACAATACATGATTGAATAAAGCAATAAGCCAAATACATACTTCATCTAGATCACCATTGTCTTCATCAACAGTGTCAGTGTGATGACCCTCAACGGGTAGAAACTCGTCATCCTCTTCGTCATCGCTCTGGAACGGATAGAATATCGGACAAGATCAATAAGTTACAGGATGCAAAAAGAGATAAAGAGAAGCAGACATACAGGCAAGTGACCATAGAGACAAGTGGTATCCATAGACTGCTGTTTGATTGGTAAGTCGAACGGAACGACAGTGTCTTGGGCAGAGAGCATCTTGACAATTAACGAGTTGATGGTTGAAAAGGAAAGATTACGGAATCGAATGAGATAATGCGATGGACACCATGAGATAGTCTCATGCAAGGCGACGATGAGCAATGTGTACAAGCC